CGAATGTTTGAAGTTGTGCAATTGAATTAGTTCTTATTGATAATTTAATATTAAACGCACTCGGCTGTCACTACGAAGATGCACCCGTCTGATTAGCGTGTTTACTGGTGCTTTCTCCTTATCTTCCTCAATACCGCCCTCCCTCTCAAATATATCTGCTTACACATCGGTGTCCACGCCCAACCAGGCCGCATCTCGTCGTCCACTCGTCCAGCCATCAACCTCGTACAGCTTTAACCGATTCACTCCGTCGTATTCACTCAAACAAGTGAACTGTACTAAACGGATGATTATGATGGATGTGTATGTGGCTTTCAGAATATGAACAATAGTCATAATTGTCAGAGTTGTCGAATTATTATCTTTTATTCATATGTTTTACAGTGCAGCATTACATCTTAACAAGTTTTAAGTGTCAGTTTAAATCAAGTTCGAATAAAGTATCTATCTGTCTGTCAATTGCCTTTCAAATCTTTCTATTCACCTCATCCTTTCCATCATTTTATAGTCTTCTCTCAATTTCCGTAATAATAATAATTATTATTATAATCATTATTGTAATAGTTATTATTGTTTCTTTTATTTATTAATTTCCCTTTAGCTTTTATTAGTATCATACTAAGGCATTTGTAACGTCAAACCTTGAACAGAAGTATTCTTTTTGGACTGTCGATGTTGACTATTAGTTATAGAAGATGCTGGTTTGCAGCTTTCACCAAGTCGTTTGGTAGACGTACGTTGAACTCGTTAAAAACGGAATAATTTAGAATGATGATCATTCGTCTTGTCAGTTCACTTTTACAGCTGAGTACATTTTGTACAGTTTCGCTCGTTTTAAATGTGGCGTTAACAATTATTCCTTCTCTCTCACTTGATGTATTCATGTGCAGAATCATGCCTGTATATCTGTGTTCATCAAGCAACGCAACCTTTTGTCTTTATTCGTCATTTATTGTCATCGTGATTGTCATTGTTACTTTAAGATCCTCTAAAATTCACTTATATTTTTTGAGTGGAACGAGCAGTCATGGTGATTCCAGACATACTGCCGTTGCTCAGCATATCTCACTCAGCTCGATGTCAATTGAATTTATTGCATGAACTGAACTGAATGCTCAGTGTCTAGCACTCATTGTTTTTGATTTTGTGCTTCTGATAACGGAAGAGCGTAGTTTCTGGTAGAGTACCTTCCATCGTGAAACTTCGATGCTTCGTTGCTACAATGAATCAGATCGTAAAACGTCGCGAAGATAGTTTAATGAATAATTTTTATGGGTGACAAGCAACAAAACCGAATCGGTCCTTTGAGTTGTTGGAGAAAGGACTTTAAATCCTTCGAGGGTTGTTTAGTTTATGAGAATGAGGAAATTATGAAGTTAAAGCCATAAATCACATATATATGTTGGTATATTTGTCGCGTCACTTGTATTAACACATCTCGCTTTGTTCCATATTCGTTTTTGATTTATTTTCACAGTCGAATAAATGAATTTTCGCATTTCTTCACCCCGTTCAGTGTCCTTTTTTAAGCGTTGAAAATCGAACATTTTTTGATTGTCTTGAAGAAATTTATTGACTGTAAAACAATTTGAGTGTTTTGTTTCTACATTTTCATTCATTACATTGGTTATCTTCAAATATGCGCACATTTTTGCGCATTAAATTTTGACTTTTTTAGTGAACTCGTTACGATTCATTGGTGTAGTCATACTGTAATTGGAACGACACTCAATTCATAAATTTATCTGTAAACGTAAAATCGTGAAGTGATTGAATGAGAGTTGATTTGGTGACGATTATGTGTTCATTGTATTGTGTGTTCTAGTTGATAAATCGGTTATATCATTTTTATCGTTCATTTCTAAACGACAATCGATCTCAATTAGAGCAGATGTCTTCTTATTTATTGCACTAATATTGCCATATTTGTCTTAATCCCGAATATTACCCATCTTTGCATCATTCATCATCGCAATAATTTGATTTGTTATGGATATTTAATGACCTTTCATAAGCCGATCNGTTTCCAAACTTACTGAAGGTTATTGCTTCAAGATTTTCGAGAATTTGAAGTAATAATCCGTTTATATTGACCGCCATATTAGGCGTATCTGCGAAATCTCTGCTAGCTCTTCCAACAAATTCTTTCATGTTTAGCTTTGTGCATTTATTTTGCTATATTAAGCAGTGATCTTACTGTTGGAAAATTATTTCCCGTAGTTATGGATGCTTCAAGATAGTTCACATCTGATGTTGATGATATATGAGCTCGAACAACAGAATGTATTAATTATTTCTGTTTTTCTGAACAATTTCAATTATTACGAATAATTTCAAAAGAAGCGTAATTCTTACTATAAGACTGCATAATTCATCAGTTCCATTCTCACCTTTTAAGAGTGTTTGCTGAGAGTATTCCCAACAGTAAAAGTGGGCGATTAAAAAGAAATTCGATGCCATGTAGGAAGATTATCGAATGATAGTTATAGTAATAATGACAAGAATGCGGTAGTTGAGATGTTTGATATTATTCGATAATACTCGATAAGTGTGTGGAATACTTTTATTGTTGTTACCTTACAAATGCTTTATTTATATTGCCCTCCCTCATCTGTTAATTGTGTTTGTTTTGTTGAATCACTCAGACCCATCTAAAAAAGGTTCACTTTACTATTTGCCATTTAAAGCTATTTATTTCAACGTTGCTATTATTCTTCCGATTATTAGCATCACCTCACTATCATTTGTTGATGCCGAATATGCTTTTACGATCATAAAGTCTTATTTATTTCGAGTATTCTGTTCACAACATCTGAACTCTTCTTTCCTTCATGAAACGATTTCCAGTCCTCGAAAAGTCTTACTGTCAGAAAGTTTCGATCCCTAACCATTGTTGCTTCTGTTCAGCCAGTTTATCTTCTCATCTGAATTCGTTCCGTTCGTCTTCGAAGTAATAATACGTCAATTAATATTTGATGAAATGTTTATTTTATTGATGACCGCGCCTAATATAATATTTCTTCTGAGTATACAACTTCATATGCGTTATTAATAATTGAAAATCATCGACGATCATTGAAATGATGCCGTATTATGTGTTTATTACTTATTACATCTTACCCGCAGTTCTCAGCACATTGCACCATTGTTCGTTCGCAATTCACTCATTCTCTCGCCACAATGTATGATTATTCATTTAGCTAACAATCAGTTATGATGATGCATNGCTTTGTTCTGACAAAGCAACTGAATGAACTGGAAACAACTAACTATTAGTTCTAGTTAGTCCCAAATGCCAGACTTAATTATAAGAAGCTTGCGTGCATTTGCGAAACATTGAGTTAATTTGGTTGTGATTATGCTTGGTGATGTGATTATAGTTGCGTTTGCCTATGGGCTAATTCTAATGCATCATCTCGAGAGTACAGCTGTAAATAGATGTTGATGCACGAATGAATATAGAACGGATTTGGTTGTTGTGCTCATTAGGCGTTAGCATAAATTGTTGCAAATATCATCATCCTATCCGCGGATTAGAATAAAGCTTAATGATACTTGTATGCGTATGCGATATGTGTATTAATTGAACGACCTCACTGATTACATCATATGCTTGATTGATGCTTGGATTGCGGTGTAGAGAAGTGAATTAGGGTCATTTATGAGGAATTGGTCAGAAATACACTCATAATCCGACAAATCAGTCTTTTTTCGTTTGCTCCGTTAACTGTCTATTTATTTATTGATGGCTGTTTATTCAATTATCAGTGGTATTTAAATCATCATTTATTTCGTTTATTTGTTCATGAAAGATTGTTGTATTACGCATGACCATTCATTCGCTTTATGCAAAATGCCTGGTCACATAGTTTTCATAATGCGTCCTTAATCTCATATAATCTTCTGAATGGATGATGAACGAGTTCACATGTAATTANATTAAGTGGTGGTGAAACGATGAAATATTTTGTTTTGATCGCTTTATTTTTAAATCATTTGAGTGCAATATGATGCATTTGTTTATTCTTCAGGCAGTAGTTTACGTTTGCGAAGCGATCCTCGCTCGTAGTTTATAGCGATCTTCGCATTCCTCATGATAGCACATTTGTAACTTCATCGCATTCAACCTCATTTCAGAATGAAATTACCTGAGAACATATCTTTTGCTTATTGTTAGTGATGGCGCGTTGGTTTTTTGAAAGTACGACGCAGTGTCATCTGATTTTGCTTTCTCTAAGTTGTGCGTGAGATCAAGAGATGTTTTATTTTTTGGTCGCATTTTCAATTTCATGGAAGACAGCGTCAGTAATGGTTGAGAATATTTTAGCTGAAATTTTTCGAAAGTTGGTTTCCTTGATTCGTTTAAATTTCGAAGCGTGTATCCATTATTCAACTCACAAGTATTCGTATCTGGTGTTATTGATGAATCAAAATTGTCACTCGACTCTAATCCAAATCCGAATGACCTTGTGCGAATCAATCTACTCCTAAACGGCGGATAATCCCCTCGATTCTCCATCTGAATCAATACATTAGATTCACCTAATTGTTTCTACTGGATATTGTTACAGTTGGCGCGTATCAATATCATCTACCAACAGTAAACACACTATCACCAGCCATATCATGTGAATATAATCATAGCCAATCTGTAGTAACGAAAAAGATGCTAGTAACATTTTTCTCGATAGTTGGTTCTGTCATAATTTAGAATGTATCACTCGTTGAACTTGGGAATGCGATACTTTCATAGGTTATAAATCACTGATACTATAGTTCATCTGTCCACTGAAGTTATGTCATTTCGTTCGCATTTTATTCAGTGATAGTCTCTATTACCATGATGCAGTTAGGTATCGGCATTTTGAAGTGAGCTAAAAAGATTATCGCTTGAATCGTGTGCTTTGTTGATTCAGTTGTTGAAGTCCATTTAGGCAAGTTGGACATTTGTTGCCGATTATTCTGATTAATTGAAAATTTGAATTTCAGAGTGGAATTTTATGCAGAGGTTGAGTTCGTGGTTTGAGCAGTTACCGTTGCGCAGACGTTCATCACAGCGTCGTGCCGAAGCGAGCTACTCGCACAAACAGCAGCAGCACTCAAAGTCCGCAGCACCACGTCTCCGATACAGCTTCTCATCAGTAACACAAAGCAATAGGGCTCGAGATCATTCTGCTGATGTTATTTCACGTTCTCTGATCGTTTCAGATCAGTCGCATGGTAACAAATTCTTTCGTTCAATTGCTTCATATTAGTCGTCGTCGATTTGCCATACTTTTGTTAATTCCAAAAAAAGTTTCTTCCTTTTCAATTGCTCTTGAAATGGCATTGAGACCATTCAGTGTGATATGCTACTAGTCATGACAAGCAATGAGTGAAGTAGAAAAAGTGCTCAGTCATAATAACGAATCGTTTCGTGAAAGCTGAATGCACTTCGGAACGTTGAAAGAACAAATTGACTCTTTTGTCAGTGAACATCGTCGTCACTTTTATGAACCATTTTCAGCAACTTCATTCGTATTCCCTTCTCTTGTTTTTATTTTCGCTCAATATTCCGAAACATTCTTCAATAATCTCGTTTCCCAACTATGTTCGCAGCACTGTGCGAATGTTTTTCTGCAGCAAATTGGAGCATTTTTTAGTCTTTCAGCTTTTAGAGTCTAAGTTCTGTCTCACCGATTACTTATTTTCAGTGACAGTTCCGGATTCTTGGAGCGGGCAAGAAACGGTAATTGGCGCGTGCAATAAAACGCATCATGCATCCCTTTCACAGTCATACGTTTATGGCTCCGGACGAATGGTATTTCTTGATTTTATTGATACTCTGTGATGACTGTACTGCTGAAAATGATAATTACTACCGTCGTTTTTCTCATTATCGTCAAAAATATATTAGTCGTATCTTTTTTCACCATTGAATTCAATTCTAGTGCCCTCTTATTTGAATTTTTTGACCGCTTTCTCGGCTCGTCATAACTTTGTGTTAAGTTACTGATTAATTAGTACCAAGCGACTGGAATCTGGGCGCAAAGTTCAAGTTGTAACGATTGGGCGGTATTGTTCGGAATATTTGAAGTGATGCCGCGGAAACTGGTTTAAAACAGTGGATCAGATTATTGGTTCACGTGCGAATGCTTTTCAGAAGATCCGTACCAATCCGTGGATCTCTCGAGATCGCCCTTCTCTTCGTGGTAATATTTTGCCACCGAAACCACCAAATGAGCTGCTCTATGCGTCAGTGGATCGATGTTCGTCGTTACGCGTCAAAAGTTTAGATGAAAGTACATGTAGTTCAGGATATGGTAGTCAAGACAGTAGGTGAGTAGTCGAGAAATGCTTTTGCTTCTCTTGTAATTTTCATGTAGAACCACTGATCATTATTCGTATTGTGTGGTCATATAAATGTTTATTTATTCATAAATTACGGCAGTATTATGAACATTTCAACAAATTATTATTGCTGCTTGGGAGATTCACTATAATATTGCGCTTATTTGCATAGCTGTACAACATGCACATACACACATCTCTGCGTAATAAGCCAATCAAGTACAATTCGACTCTAATTGATTGCTCGTTTGGGAATTCGTGTTGCTATCTGCAAGCGTTCTTGGCTCGTGCTCATATTTGTACGTATATATGAGCACTGACTCTTATATTCAGCCATTCCAAGCTTTGATCACATTTCATTCACGAACAATATCGCACCCATACGGTCTCCATACAATGCGATTTTTGGTTTATATTATAGTTACTGAACTGAGCACTTACTGAACTTCGATAGCATTGCTAATGTTCGAAAGTACTTGCAAATTAAATTGCACATTTCTGCACAGCAACAACGATTGCATAGTAACAGTGTGTTTGCTTAAAGAAACGTCTTTTATCAAGATGCCCTTACACATGCACAAAAGTGCTCTATGTGAATTACTGAAATGTGAACGTAGCCGAAAACAAAATTTAATAAATTGCGTTAGTGAAACCTTCTTTCATTGAGATATGATCAGTGTTTGAAAAGTCGCGACCATTTTTCTGTTCAGCGATCGAGAAGAAATCGCGTGATCTTATTTCAATCCCGGGAATGAAAAATGATCACAAACAGAAGGCAAAACAGCAGTGATGATGAAAAGTGAAGAGTGATAACATTTTTAACTATTCATTCATTCGTTTTCAATTGAGTGGTAAATAACAAATATCACTGAATATGAATGAACTGCGAATAGCAAATAACAATAATGCGTATAAATCTAAAAATTCGCAGGATTTCTCCGAAAAATAATTCCCAGAATTGCGGTAGAGACTTAAAAATCGGGACACCGGAATTCTATGCAAACACGAGATTATTCTTACAATTAGCATTGTCATTACTTTAGTTGATCGCTTAGAATATGGCAGTTGCGTTATCTGAGTAGAAGTGAATTCGGAAAGAAGGAATTTTCATGTGTTTTTCTGACGCATTTCTGTGACGGAATGTTATTGTCTTATTGAAAGTATGAATATTCCGCAAAATAAACTATGATTAACCAACTGAATTCATTCAACATTCTTGTTTACGACTCAGTAGATACTCTTTAAGAGAGCTACTCTGTAAACAATTCAAAAATGTGATTATATGATACCTATCCAGTGCATCCAAATCGTGTTTCGTTCGAGTCGATGCCTCGTTCTGCTGCAAATTTACTTTCAGGATGCTAAATCAATCCTAATCTCGTTTTGTAAATTTATCTGAATATTTGTTTTCGAGTCAATTGTAATTCAATATTTTGTCTTGTGTTAACGTTGTAAGCTGATTGGATCGCATTCATGTGGATTCCTTAAACTAAAGACATCAGTCGCTGTTTTTGTTGTTGTTGTAAGAAAGGGAATCTTCGGATAAACGTTCAGAAATTGGATAACCTCGCAAGGACTTCATTTGAAATAGCATTAGTACAACATTTGCACTATTTTATGCAGTTACGCGGTTGCAAGACATTTGTTTTAGATTTGTTACTTCAAATTGCGTAGCTGCTCTGATTTTATTCTATCATGTTTAATGGAATGAAGTACGTTCGATGCAAATGATGAAGCATGAAACGGTTTCAGTCCTGACTCATCGGTTCATTCACCCGATTGGCAACAGCAATCGAAGAAACGGTGCGATTTGGAAGATAAAGCAATTGAATGCCGTTCGATTGATGTGGATGAGGCGTTGGGAATCGATTTAGATGATAGCATTGAGCAGGAAGACGAGAATAATAATAATAATAATAACCACTCGTCACAGTATCGTGCCGTGTGTGATGCTCGTAAAGAGGACGAACACATTTATCACGAACTCGAGGTTCGCATTCATCACGATCTTGTTTTGATTTCATTCAACTTTGTCACTTTTGTTTATAGCGTTTTCATGACTTGGGAGATGTCTTAGGGGCTTGCGTTGAGAGTATTTTTATTGACGTGAAAGTTATTCAGTTCAGCAGAACCATAAGGTAACGAAAACTATGGAGGATATACAACAAGCACAAAAGTATAGCGAAAGAAATCTCAGTAAAAGATCGTCTAGAGGGGTGCTTATATGAGCGATTGCACAGTGTTTGTAGGAAGTGACTTTGAGAGAATACATCAATGAAAGAAAGAAGAATTCATTGAATAAAGCTGTTGAAATTTCAGGCATTCAATCGCATTCCGTTGTCATTAGCTGCCTCCAAGAATGCATGCTCATCAGATTGTGTATTTGCAACATCATCGATATACACCAATTTACATCACCGTATTCAACAACAAAAACAACGACACGCATCACCACGTCATTGTTCATCACCAATCTATGCACAACCCTATCAGATATCCCCAATAACTAACGGCCAATATTCACATCAATCATATCCCTTGCAACGGTCCAATCGTCAGTTGATGTATCAAGATTTGGATGAGTATGATTACGATGATGATGATGATGATGATGAGGAATCGATCGACGCTTTCGACAATCCATCAAATCTGTCTGAATTCCCAAATATGGCCGCAAGTTTTACATATATTCCATGTGCTGGCGTTCCGTATCGAAGCAGCAATATTCCAGTGGCAGTAGAACCGCATTTCCATGCACCACCGCCTCCTCCATCTTCAACCGTTCAACCGATATCATTCGATGATCTTGATCGGGTTGAGATGGATTTTCTAGCCGAACTTGACGCACAAATTGCTGAACTTCAGGTAATTCAGGACAAATTATCGATAAAAGTTTCATTCATCGGAGTGCGTTACTACACTTTTTGGATTCCTACTTGCATTTTATTGTTAGAACTTGATCCACTGAATTCCGATGAAACGGTCAACATTTGAAAATACTTCTGCATAGAGGAAGGAAATTTGCATTGCGGGCTTTCAGTTATAAGTGAGGTTAATGATCAGTTGCAGGTGAAAAGTGTGGCAGTACGTCAGTTGGTGGACGAGGCTCGTGAACGACGTGACGCTCGTGCACGTACGAAGCAGTTATGCATGGAGCAGTTGGCTGAATTGAAACAGCTCAAGTGGGTGATGCGCGATCACTTCGAGCTTGTTCTTTGATGATACTTTGTATCTTCGTTGTGAAAGAATATGAGAACGACCCGAACTCAAGCCTAGGATGATAACTCGAGCATTCTAGCTGATCTTATCATGATTCCCGGGGAAAGTGTAGTATCCATTTAATAACTTTAGTCAGTAATCGAACCGCTGATTGGAGTAATATTCTATAGTCATCGAAACATCTCTGCAAAGTGGTTCACTTGTGATTCACCTAGGAATCACCGTATTGAAAACAGTCAAATCTGGGAAATCGAACAGAATTGTGATGGATGTTTTGATCTGGAAAAATTTGAGTCGAAAATAGAAAATTTAAAAAAANAAAAAAACATGTGAATTACGGTGAATGCAATTATTAATGCTTTTGTAGCAAGAATGTGAAAATAAGTAGGAAAACGTGAGTTTGGTCGTTTTCACAAGATGCGAAACTGAAAAAGTACTGTGAAAAAAGTTTGTTTGTTTATTTTGCTTGTGTTCCCTTGTTTTCATTTCATCACTACGCATATGTGAGCCGATATCATTGCCGTATTGCTTTATTCGTTGAATGGTTTTGTTTTGTTGTTTTATTTTTTCGTTTGTAATTTGATTTATTTAGAAATAAGGATTTATGGAGATATGTGATTGTAAGATATGTCGCATGCAATAAGTGCAACGAAGTTATCGACTAAAAATTACATTCAGTAGTAGCAAATGTTCTCGTGTTTGATGCCTAACAATAGGTAATTTAGGTTCACTGTCAGATTTTTGGCCAGTTCAACATTCCGGTGTTTTGTGGAGGAGTATCATAAATTAATGATGAAATTTTGTGTGGGAATCCTCCGATTGTAGCGCTGAAATCGTTTGATTAAGAAACAAGAACACATTGTTCTGAATATCGGTTTTGGGATTGAAAAACAGGTGATCTATCAATGTGCATTGCTTGAACTGATAATCTGCTAAGAAAATAACTGGTTGCTTTACTAGCTGTTCGCTTTCGATTGAAGTTTCATCAGTTATGTTTGACATTTGTCTCAATGGCGCTAGTTTAGTTTCATAATGATGTTGTGCATTCTCCTAATTTTATTGGCCACTCAACAAGAGTGAATGAATAATTTCTGTTGAAATGCTGAATCATTTGATTGCTGTTGATTGATCAGAAATTATTCGTGTTCGTTTTCGTAACGTTGTTTTAAAGAGAGCTTTATTCAGTTATAATCCACCTTACTTGACTCTCATTATGTTTTCCAGTTCTGATTCTTGATCATTGCGATGTCCGGTTGGGTGGTGCACCATATCTTTTGCACATCCTTAATTCGCACCATATTAAGCAGCAGCAGCAGCTATTCATTGTTCATAGTTTCAGTTCATGACAATTGATCGAATAGTGAACATCGTGTTTCATCAATGAGAATTGAACAGTTCATCGGAAAGTATCTTTTGAATGTATAATCAATGGAATCATATCTTAATCAAAATTACCTAATATTCCAAGGCAATATCCATAGTATCCATAAGAATTATTATCGCTTTCAAAGTTTTTGTTTTGTTCAGCTGGAGTTGTATTTTTAATTTGTTAATCTCGTGAAAGACGCTCCACTGTCATATAGGCGAACGTTCTTGTCACTGTTTAATCAAATAATTGTGAATGTGATTTGAATGTAACAAACTGGCATTAAATAATATTTTGATCGCTTCTTTATCAGTTATTTTTATTGTTGTTTTATTCATTTCATCATTATTTTCAATGCACAGTTTTAAAAATTTTGGTGGAAATAAATCTTGAAGTTATGGCTGTCACATGTTGCGTTCCATTTTAAAATGTATTCTAAATTTCCATCATTTTGAACATTTTTTGGAAAGACGTTTCGAACGGATAAGCACAGTCGATGAACAAAAAAATACTCTGAACAGAACAGAAAAGAAATCTGAATTTTTCGTATGCAGTGAGTTCGTTCTTACTTTTCTGTGCGCAAAGGATCGACATGCTTAAGGCCATGATACCGATGTTAGCCTTCAGTGGGAGTGAACATTCCATTATCTCATACGAGTGAAAGGAGCTGTATAATTACGTCAATGATTTTATGACTATTTTTCCGATTCCTGTCCATGAATATGATTGAATTGCGCATTTAGAATCGTCATACTTAAGCAAAGAACGAAAAAATCGGAATTTTAACTTATTCAGATGGAGCAAAGGTTATTAGTATTTTCGCCAGAATGTACGGACGCACCTTCTTCTGAGCTTTTCAATAAATACCTGATATTCTTGAAAGTTTTCGTTGAGAGTTTGAAAGCTTGAAAGTTTTCGTTGAGAGAACTTCATTGAGTTATTTTTTGTCTTTCTGAGGCAATTTAGAAATGGCTACTTGCTAGCAGTTTGCGACAAAGGGACATGAACTACACACAACCTCAAAAACAGAAGGGAATAAGTAAAATCTAAGGGTGCATTATGGTAAGGGTGCGGATAGTTTTTTTAACTCGTTCACACATGCTGAACTACAGTATACTGAAAACATGACGCGCTCGAATATGGAATCATCGTTCGTCCAATCCATTTTCGAAAGCATTTCATCTCATCTGAAATGAGCACAAGAAAACTGAATTAGACATTTTTATTCAGTTTCGATACATTGTTCCTTTTTCATATCCTTCAATTTTCACCCAATTCAATTCACATTTCGAACTTGATGCATTCGTTTCAGCATCGACATTCATCCAAATCAGATAATCATCATCAAACTATGTTTACATGAAAACGCTTCTTATTTTCGCATAATCAATTCTAAGGCAATTTCAGATAATTTCATTGCTACGTTTTTATTCCATTCTTTTTTTTGGTTAAGCAAATGGAATTTGTTACGAATGTGATTAGGGAATGCGCTACTTTCGCAAGCGATGCATTATTTGGTTCTTTCAATTAATGCACGTTTGGGAATTCAGTTTCGAATATTCAATTAGAATTCGAACGACTTCGTTGGAAATTTCAAAATCAAGCATATCCGAGCAATGGATACAGAGAGTCGTGAGTGGTGGTTCTAAGTAGTGAAAATAAATTATACAAGTTGAGAACGAAAACAAGAAAGTCGATCGAACAACGCTGATGGACGGACAGTAGTTAGGTAATACGATTTAAATATTCATCAGAACTGAGGTGAATCGAAGCCAAGAGAAAATGAAACTGTATAAATGATAGAAGTGAGGTGATAATTAACTAATCGCTCAAGAAATGATACTTTCTTTACATTATGTCAAAACGCAACAGCAATAACGAGATGAAATGAACATCATTAAATGAACATGAACGTTTTCGTACATCACAATTGAGACTTTTATGCTTTCTTCGATCAATCACACATCCAAATGGCAGTTTTGGCAGGAACTCTACCTAAGCCTCTTTAATCTAATAGTGAATGTAATCATTGCATCCTTCTCGATGCAATATTCTGGGCCTCAGGCAAATTACTCAACATAACCCCATTTATGATACGATTATAAGTAAGTCTCGTTCAAAATCAATTATATTCAGGATGTGTCTCTAATGAATTTCGCTTCTCCTCTCTATCAAAAGATGCTTCCCGCAGAGGAGATGTATTAACTACTCAAATACTCACCGATGTATTAGTTAATACACCAAATTGTAATGATACTCTAAACACACATTGCTTCGTTAGAAAAACGAACATCCCACGCAATAGGATTTGACGATTGCATATAATAGGATGCATAATTCAGCTCACAACTAGCGCACGTGTCCGTGCATTTGATTCACCTTAATTATCATTAACGTGGCTTAGTTCTTCAAATTTGCACTGTTGTTTTATTCATATTGCAGTGCTATAAAGCTAATAATATTACAGAAGAACATCTCTGAAGGGAATAAGTTATTGTAAATGGATCGAACGAACTGAATGGCGTATCAGTCGTTCAAATTCAAATAGAGAAAGCGTTTTAAAACATTAGGAAATACGCTGATATGTCAGCGATGAAATCACTTGAGGATACAGCTGATTGTTGTTTATTTATGTATAGTTGATTGCTGTTTATTTATGTATCTATTTAATTGCTCATTTATTGAGCAATGAGAATTGAGAATGCAACTGCAATAATGATGATTATGCTTAATGACCGTTTATGAAGACGCACATCATTCACATGTATCATCTTACTATATCAACACAAATAAATATTTATCCGGATGAATAATGACTTGTTTATGGACTAATGAACTGAATAATAAAGTCGTTTTGATTATGAGCATAACGAATGTCAACTGATTATTCCATCTAACCGTTTCTTCATCCCGTTGTTCTGTATTTTCAGTTATGAATTTTATTAACACAATTCTTATTTCTCTAATCGATGAAACGAATCGTGTGAAATGCACTCCTAAATTCAACGTTCATAGTCAACGAGGAGCGAACATTTTCGATGAAATGGAGAGAAAATATTGGCTGTAGAAATGAGAAGAAATCAAATAAGACTTCGAGAAAAAAANAAAAAAATAAAGCTCACCGTTATGTTCACTAATTTTTCCTATCAATTAAGGTTGATTATGCACAACAAATAGGTACGATTTTATCGCATTTGCATTTGCATTGGTGAAGAGTCATATTGATTTTAATTTGTAAATAAATTCTTTGAGACAATCAGTTTCATGATGAAGTCATGCTTAATATCAAATGCCCATCTCAATTACTATCCTCATCAGCAATCCGTCATACTCAGGCATGAAATGCAATCAACGTGACCTAGGAAATATTTGAGTTGTTTTGACATATCCCATTCACCTTCATCTAGACCAGTGGTTCTCACACTCGGAAGCTCCATTATCCTCTCCATGGTTATTATCTCTCCCCTCCCCTCCCCCCACTACGGTAATTTACTATTTCCGCGCGTAAAGAACGTCAGTAATAATTTCCGACCCCTCTATTACCCTCTGACACCTCCAAATTACCCAAAAAATGGGTCATTTCTTCCTCTATGGGGATCCTTGATCTAGATCTTCGATTCTCACACTCGTGGGCTCCATTAATCAATCCCTCCTCCTCCTCCCCCCACCACAACAACTTACTATTTCCACGAATGCTACTTTGGAAGACTCTTGAAACAACAACATGCCCAAGTATCTCACTCATAAATTGAAAACAATAACTTTCAATCTAGAATCTCACATCACATCCACCACAGCGTAGCAAACATTTGTTACAAACCAGATAACTATGACACAATTAAGCAGTTACTTCGTTCGGAAAAAATCCATTGTAGGATGCAATTAAGAAACTTGTCAAAACTTTTTAGTGCTGCCGAATGACAACGAACGATAAATTCAAAAACACTCGTTCTTTTCGCACCAAAGCAATGGTCTTTTCTGTCACACCAAATCACTCAATCAATTCCCACTGTTAATGAGAGACGATCTCAGCCAACATACTGAAAATCTTACGAAATACCTGTGACTACTTCAAACTAGTGTTTGGAACCGCAAGATCTTTTGCGTCGGCCCAGATCGAAAAACCTATCGGTGGCCGCAGATAGACAGTTGCCTCCAACACTTTAGTCGTGATCACCAGACATCATCAATTCTGTATCTGAGGAATATTCTCCATGACATCAATTGACTTCATTTCTGTCCCTTCATACATCAATATGAAGCATACTAAGTTCGCTCCACAAAAAAAATTTGATCAGCAATTCTCCACCTACACCCATTCAAAACAGCTACCTCACTCTCTCCCTTATGATTCACTTGCCTCACCCTCAGTCTCAATCCTCCGATTCATTCAATAACGTGACATAAACTTTCAAATCCTTTACACATCAATAGTGAACTCCGTTGGCAAAAGCACAGAAAAGTTATCACTATCTGAAATAAGGAGCTGTGTGTGGTGAACGCCGACTATCTAAAATAAACGGTGCGTGGCGAGAATCGATGGGATGTGAATAAATCTGACAAAATGCTCAATGTTTGTGGATGAACAACAACAATTTTAACCGATTTATTCATCAAGACGATCGGTGAAATATAAACAAAACAAACAATAACCAACAAATAACACTTCTGTTCATTCACAAAAACATAATAAATCAATTCCAATAACAATTATTTATTTAGCTTTCTTGGCACGAATCTTACGCAGGTAGAATTCGAGCTCTTTACCTTCCAATATATATCCGTCACAACGACCCACTTGACCGGGGCGTGAGCTGATACAAGCTGAAACGATTGACTAGTGTGAATGAGAGTTGAATAAAGTTTTCCGATGAAGCCATTACGAGCACATAAAAACGTTGTTCTGACACACAGGTGAGGTCATTCGGCATCGAAGCAAGGAACAACCCGCATTTAGGTGCAGATGAGGTTTGATCTTCGAGAATGTTTAGCACACGTGAACACATCAAGTTTTGGTGTACAGTGTGACTCTACTCTCGGTGCAACTTTTCCTTTTGCGAATTGTCAAATACAAAAATGATGAAGTGATGAACGAACAAAGAGAAGGCAGGTGAATGCTGAATTGACTAACCAAGAAGACGACCTCCCTGGAACTGTTCAATGAGATGCGACTCAACTTCAGCGGTTTTTTGCCTTTCGGTGTATTTGGCTCGTGTCCTCTTCGATAAGCTTCGATTGATACGCGCTTCTTCTTCATCGGTCAACTTAGCACCCTTCTTTCTGGCTAATGGCAACGCATAATGTGCTTCATACCACTGACGGAACGGAACTGCATCAACAGTGATTATCGAATTCTTCACCAACGTTTTCGTTCGTACCAACTCGTTGTTTGACGCATTATAAACCGTATCAACAATACGTGATTTACGTGTTATTCCTTAAAAACTTTTTTGCTGTTATTGCTCAACTGTCAGCATACTCGAACAAATAAAGATTTCGGAACTGTTGCTCAACATAAGTAGGATCAGCGAGTGAGACGAACGTAACTGATTGTATCGATGTGAGCACTAAGATTTGTAATTTCCGAGTGGTTCAGCACGCGTACAGCAACGAATCGAGTGGTCTGTTGCGTGACTCAACCCCCGGTTTCGTGAACATTCTTGATTATAAAATGAAACAGACGTTAGAAGTACAAAAAAAACCTTCGGATCCCCATGAGAAATTACCAACATCCAATCGAAGAGCACGATGCTTAATGTTACCACCACGGCAACGTACCAAATGAATGCGTTTTGGACCAATCTAAAATTTTTCAATCTGAAGCATTCGAAAAAGTCACTGAAGTGAAAGTCGAAAGTTTCACGATCTATTCAAAATTGTTCTGAGCACTTCTCCTCACTAAAATCCTCACGTAAGCTTACGCTGACAGAGTGAAGTTGAGCCTTTAAGCCGGTGTTTCATCGCGGCCACAGTAGCTTGGAAATCAAGGCATTTTGTACGCGATGCAGAATTGTCAATACTGAAGCACTTTCCGCAAAGACTTCTCGAGCAGTTTTTATTGGGATCATAGCGCGATGAGGGAAGACTGAGTCAAACCTTAGTGTTGGAAGCAGGACGTCCTAATTCGAACTTTCTCTTTTTGTGCGGCGCACACCTCTTACCACCAGTTGCACGTCGCTTATGCCAATTATCTCGTGATATACCCATTCTCGGTTTTTTCCGAAACTACCCTAAATGTGATTCAACATTATACCAACACCAAAATATCAAATCCACACATAAAAGAAAAACTAAAATTGATGCACAATACAGAGTAGCACATTCGAGTGTGGGAAATAACGAACGAACTGCGTCACAGTAGGGCAATTCACTTAATTCCTCGTTACGGAAAAAATTAAAAAGTGAAAGAAAACTATGAAAATAAGAATTCAGTAAAGATAATTGTCAGAAAAATTCGACCATCGCAATGAAACCGTAATGATACTACAACTGATGGGCGAATAAAAATGGGAAACCCAGAGTTAATGAGAAGGAATCAAAAATTTTATTGTTGACAGCGGTCAGATATAGCAAAAATACCCAATATTATACGTAATACACAGAAACCCGCAGAAATTCGCCAAAATCCCTTCAAAATTCCACCATAAAATCCTTCACAAACAACTATGTTCACTTCTCAAGTCTACGGTAACGTAACGATGTGCAAGATATCACATCCATTTCAGATTTAAAACTTCGGTTAGAGCGCGAAAATGTTGCGAACAAATTTTCTGCGGGAAGATTTTTTTTGAAACGCTTTCTTGGTTACTTGGATGATCGAAAATCACCTCAGGTTTCGAAATATTGATTCAGCTTTGCAGAATAAATGTTTTTCACGGAGCCAGTATTATTGAGCTGGTGAAACCCTCTTCAGTATATTTTTTATTTTTATTATTGCATTATGCTTGGCATCAACATTATAATCGCGCACTTAATTTTGTACTCTCAAATCCATCGATGCCTGTTATTCAGTGTTTTTAAAGGGTATATCCGTGCGGTCAAGCAGAAGTTAGTGCACAATCCCTCGTGAAGTAGAGAAGATGGATTTGATCGACCGTGAGGACGAAAATTTCGCAAGAGAAGTTACGCTCGAGTACCTCAATTTCATCGATGACAGTGTAAGTAAATTGAAAGCGAATTGTAATTCCGTTTACCTGTTGATCTTATTTGCGCATTCTTTCTTGAATACATTCAATGCAACTTATGTTGATTTTTATCGGAGTTACTCGGAACATATGAAATGAAATTTGATGATTTTCTTGCTAAAGACGATCCTTTCATGAAGTAACCGTGATTCTCCGATACGATATGCACATCTTTTATAGGCGGAACAGAAGATTTATGTCCAAAAAGTCGAAGAACTGATCAAAGAGGAAGGAAATCGTTTGATTGTTAATCTGAATGATGTACGATCGAAGCTACCTGAACGAGCTAATGGGTGAGGATTGCGTTTTTATTCCCACTGAACAGTTTGGTTCACTGTTTGGCTGTACTGATTCATTGATGTTACAGATTGTTGAAGAATTTTTCGCGCGAAATTCTGTGCTTGCAAAAAGCGGTGAATGATTTCATATCGCGAACAGACCCAATCTTCTCAAAAAATCGTGACATTTTGGTTGGTTTCGAGGGAAGTTTTGGTGAACGACACGTTAATCCACGTACACTGAAAGCGCGATATTTGGGAAACATGGTTTGCTGTGAGGGTATCGTCACAAAATGTTCGTATTTATTCTTTGTTAACTTATCGACCTTTATTTCACACTCATTTCAAATTCTTTAGCTTTCGAATCAGTTGTTTGACTCGTCGCTCAAATGATCGAAAGTGCGCTTTTAGTATCCATCAGTGAACATTTTAGGTTCAACAGTTCGACCGAAATTAGTACGAAGTGTTCATTATTGCCCAGCTACGGGTAAAACGTTCGAACGTAAATACACAGATCTCACATCTTACGATGCATTCCCAAGCAGCAATTATTATCCAACTGAGGTGTTTTCCTTATTTCATTTGAATGAAACAGATTGATTCCAATTTTATGATGCTTGTTTAGAGAATTCGAATGGATCAATTTAGTCTCATCTTATGTTTTGTATATCAAAATAATTTTGGGTATATCATTGGTTATTGCAGGATGAAAACAAAAACCCACTCGAAACTGAGTATGGATTGAGCACGTATAAAGATTACCAAACTTTCTCGATTCAGGTACATTTAAGTTGGTTTTAGCGATTGACTCTAATTGCTGTTCTGAAGGATTATATGTTGTTTTGTAATTTTGTTGATGACCAGTTGATTATTACATCTCAAAATAATGAATTTCTGATATTTGAATGAGTGTTCTGAAAACCGATATCCGAATGATTCAAAGTAAATAATGAAACGTGTCCTGTAGGAGCTACCTGAGACTGCGCCACCAGGTCAATTACCTCGGTCGGTGGACGTAATAGCTGAAGAAGATCTAGCAGATTGTTGTAAACCAGGTGATCGCATTCGAGTTGTCGGTCTTTACAGATGCCTTCCAAATAAGCGTAGTGCGTTCTCGAATGGAACTTTCAGGTAGTTCTATCGTCGTTACTGATATCTATTCATAATTATCACTAACCACTTACAGGTCTCCTTTTGTCATCACTAAAAATAACTTTTGCTTTCATTTTGCGTTGTCATTGTAACGTAGTCAGCCGTATGACAATGTTGGGAAAACGATCAATTTACATAATCTCTATCCTTACTGATGTTGAAGATGAAAGCAAGGTCATTACAATGGCCTTGGCATTTTATTTACTAGATGGTGAATATTTCAAAAATTCGTTGTGAAGACTAATACGATCATTCTTATTTTTATTTGCTGTTTTAGTGTATCATGAAAAATTCTTTTACGGTTTGCAGATCAGTGATAATATCGAATAACGTTCAGTTGATGAGTAAAGAATTGCAGCCAAATTTCGAACCTGAAGATATTAAGAATATTCGGAAAATGAGTCGCAATAATGTTAGTGATTGTCTTAAGTTTTTGTACAACTAAGTTTTGTTTTGGAATTCATTCACATGGAAGTGCATTCATTTAAAAAAGTATATGTTGATTTTTTGTGCAACTTAAGGATATTTTCAATATTTTGGCACGTTCATTGGCACCTTCAATTTGGGGTCATGATGAAGTGAAGAAAGCGATTTTGTGTTTGTTGTTGGGTGGTAACGAGAAATTACTGCAAAACGGTACTCGTCTTAGAGGTGATATCAACGTTTTACTTATCGGGGATCCATCTGTCGCTAAAAGTCAACTTTTGAGGTGAGTGATACTTTTCATTGTAGAGCTTGTGCATGACAATGTGGTCGCTGGAATGCAGTGCTATTAGAGTGTTCCAATACGAAAGTTTTTTCCAATATATTTTTGCAACAACCCACGAAAAGCTGAGAATAATAGGAAGAATTCTGAGATTAGGCAATTTACAAATGAGTGTCTTGAATTGGTTCACGACGAAATGGCAAGTGTATAGATTTGGATCGAATAGAAAAGTAATAAGGGGATATCGATCAGGTATGTGCTACACACAGCACCAAGAGCAATAGCAACTACTGGACGTGGTTCGAGTGGAGTTGGTCTCACTGCAGCCGTTACAACTGATTCGGATACGGGAGATCGAAGGCTTGAAGCTGGTGCGATGGTTTTAGCTGATCGAGGAATCGTTTGTATTGATGAATTTGATAAGGTTATTACTGATGGTGTTTGTTTTTAGTATATTCGTATGAGATCTCAATTGAATGTGACAGAATTGATTGAATTAGTTGATATTCGAATAAATTCAGATGTCTGATATCGATCGCACTGCAATTCATGAAGTAATGGAACAGGGTCGCGTAACCATTGCAAAGGCTGGCATTCATGCTAAACTCAATGCCAGATGTTCGGTTCTTGCGGCTGCGAACCCCGTTTTTGGACGAGTTCGTTTTTATTTTGAGTAGCGGAATGTTCATATGCATCATTCTTATATGGACACTGACTGAGGAATAATTTGTGATGTTCACTCGCTTATTTTATTTTCATTTTTGAACCAACACGATTAGAATTCATTGAAGTGTTCAAGAGTATTCCTCAGTGCAAATATGATCTCGACAAATGTCACATTTGTATAGCTTTTTTGCAGTATGATATCTACAAGAGTCCTATGCAAAACATCAATATGCAAGATTCTTTGCTGTCGCGTTTTGACCTGATATTCGTCCTTCTTGATGAGGTTTTTCATCTATGTTTATTTTTATCTATTTTTTTAATAATTCACAGCTGTTTCCTTTTCTGCGTTTTTCACCTATTTTATAGTATTTTCCTCATCCTTTCCTTGAGTCCATATCTAACTGTCCATCATTCGGTATTGACCAGTTTTTGGGTTATGAAATTGATAATTTTTGAGTGTTGCAGTAATCGGTTTGATTGAAAGCCAACGCGATGTTTTTGGACTAAATAGGAAGTTCAGTCGATCATTAGAGTAGTGAGTAATAACGATGATAAATTTGAGCACAATATGGACCGCGATGGTGCTGTTGCCGAGCATGTGGTGAAGTTGCATCGTTATCGGACGCCAGGAGAGGCTGACGGTACGGTGCTTCCAATGGGTGCGGCTGTAGAGACATTATCGACATTCGACTTGGATGAGAACGATTCTCAGGGGGGTACGGAAATTTATGAGAAGAATAGGGGATGGTGTGCCGCCAGAAATAAGTATGTTTCGTTGTGTTGTTACTGATTCGGGATTGGAAGAACGCAATGAAAATACTTCAAGTTTTGTTCAATTTCTTGTGACACTTTTCCTCTCGTACTGAAACAAATCGTGATGAATTGTACTCCAAGATTTCGAATAGAAGAATCAATTTGTTCTGCGACCATTTCAAAATCAAACTCTACAGTACCAAGTCAATATAATATTTGCTAATGGTTTTGGCTTAATCTGTATTATGTAATTATCAACTGATATAAAGATGAGAAATTTCCGAGCGAGTTATTGCAGTGAGAAGATTTTGACACTTCAATTCATGCGTAAATACATTCATATGGCAAAAGCTGTCAAACCGCAACTGACTGAAGAGGCAACCGCTTATATCACTGACTGCTATACCGAGTTGCGTTCATTCGACACATCGAAAACGGATCGCGAAAGGGTTCGATCTTTGAAGTCATTGTTCTTTTATTCTACTCATAAGAAGATTCATAATGGTTTTTGCGAAAATAGTCTGTCGAAAATGAGTAAAAACTCATATTCGCGTGAGTAATATTCACTCAAAAACAATTACAGTTGCATCGACTGTCTTCAAATATGATACGAATGGAAAATGAATGGTAAGTTAAGGTTAGAAGTTACAAGTGAAGTATTTATATGTAGTGAAAGTGACACAAATTCAGACGATGCCCGTAACAGCGCGTCAACTAGAGACGCTGATTCGTGTGTCAACTGCAATGGCTAAGGCAAGATTAGCGAAAACGGTTCTCAGATCAGATGCCGAAAAAGCTTATCAGCTACTGCATTATGCGTGCTTTAAAGAGAAAGCCAAAGAAAGAATTGAAATGGAGCAACAAAAGAAGGTTTCGAAAGGTGGAGAGCATGAGAGCGACGAGGAGGAAGGGGATGAGCATATCAACGAGGTTATTTTCATTTGAAACGATCGTTTATATCGTTATCAATTTTGTTTTTATCGATATTAATGATACTAATCCATCGAAGTATTCACATTTTCGTTTCAGACAACTGCCCAATCAATGGAAACTGATTCGAGTTCTCTTCCATCGAGACGTTCCAAACGGTACATTTCAACACATTTGATGAATGATGCGATTTTTCTTTTAGAATTCCTTCTAGTGAAATATATCAGCCAGATAATAATAGGAAAGTATGATTTCACTAATAAAACTAATCCCAACTAGATTCTGTGTATTATTAAAGCTAAATTCAGTGGACTGGAAAGAAATCGTTTTTGAAGTGTTCTTATGAAATTGGTTTTCGATTATTCAGGCGTGGTACATTAACGGAAAGCTCACAGGCGACAATAGACGATGATGCAACCATGGATACAACGGCGATTAGCTCTGAACTCTCATCCGTTCCATCCGCTAAAAGACCGCGACAGGAGGCTCCTTCGATTAGTGTTGATCGGTTCGCTGATTAATCTTTCAGTTTCGATCTATTAAATTTTCAAGGATGAGGTGGAATTTAAATGATTACTTCGTTAGAAGTTTTTAAAAAGAAATAGTCTCATTAATCATTGAAGCATTAGCAAGTTTACTGTTCACTTCAACATGATCCATTTGCCACTTCGAAGTTTATCTCATTTCGATTGATCCATAGTTTTATTGGTTCCTATCAAAACGTGTAATATTAATAGTCGCAAAAAATTTTCAGCTACAAAACATTCCGTAAATACTTACGTAAGGCATTCGATGAGAGTAGCGATCCAACGGAAATGATTCCTATTGCGACGATTCAAGATGCTATTCAGGTATTCTCTTTTAAATTCACTGTGATCAATCTGTAGTGTGCAGAATGTTTGCTTGATATTATCACCGTTATTGTGGGAAGAAGGAGAAATCGTGAACGTGATATGCGAAATAATGATTGTATTGTTCTTGATATTGTTGATGGTTTATTTCAGAATCAGGCTGGACGTTTACCATTCTCGCAATCTGAATTTGATGCGGCCTTCGAGCAACTCTCAAGTGAGAACATTGTTATGGTGGTTGATGATCGTATTGTGCTTATTTAATGTTCAATTCATCTTGTATCAATATTCTGTTGTTGTTTAAAGTGTTTTATGTCGACGAATTTTTGCATGTTTTATTCTTCACGCAATTCGCATGAGACAGTGGCTTTTAGATGATTAATTCTGATGAACATCTTTGCTTATATCGACAAAAAAATTGGATTTGTTTGTTCATTCGTCATTTTTACTGTCTTCATTTTCATTGATACTGTACTATCAATTTATCGATTGAAGTAAGACTCCTTTCAGTCAGAACTATTGATTCCTCCGAAAAGTACCACCTCAAAATTCACTTATTTCTAAGTTAAAATTTCATTCATTCATTTGGCTGGTTATTATTTCACTGTTATAAATAATGTCAAAGTTATCATGTTATGTTGTAATAATGTTACTACCGTATGCCTCGGCTTGTTTGCCATATAAATATCGTTTGTGTTCACATATCATTCCGATATTTCCCTTTCTCATAATCGTTTTTTTTTTGTTGTTAGAATTCAATTCGTCAATCCTCATTAATATTATCGGTTTATATGCATGAATTGCTTGGTGCGTAATACGTTGTATGTTTATGATTTAATGGAATTTTGAATTTTTCTGTTCTCAAATAAATTCGGTGCAAAATTCTTTGAATACCTTCGCTAAATAGTTGGTTTATTTTATAATTTACAATTTTTACACTCGCTCACTCTCAACACGTATCGTTATTGCAAAACTTCGCTTTATTTGGCATTCATTTGAGCTCCATCTGTGCGATTCCGAATTTTCTTTCTGATGGAATTATTTGAGCGCTTGAACGTTTCATTGGCATGTCTCCAGTGTTAGCTGTGCTTTCTTTCTGACGACTGGACCTGAAAGTGAAGTAGAATTATTGATCTAGCAAACGTGGAACACTTCACTTGTTTAGCAGCAGCATGAAATAAGGCAATCTGTGAGTTTTATAACCGCGTTCCCTGAATTCTCAGTCGATGTTCGATAGCAATGAGTATTCATTTAGAACTCATTGATGGATGAAATCATGGTTCGACAATAGAAATAAATGGAAAGTAATAACAGTACCAAGTATCCGCAATGCTGTAGCGGTTCGATTCATTGGCCACTTGTTGACTTCTACATATGATCCTTCGGCATTCCCTTCGAAAATGCTGACCAGATGCGAAAAACATGAAGAAATTTATCGATGAACATAGGATAACCAAAAAATTTGCCGCACTCACGAGAAGCGCAGCTTGAGCTGGAGAATCCTCGGGTGCAACAGAGCCGATTACCTGAGGTTAAATTCAATTAGATTAGATGATTGCCTTCACTGAAAAATGAAATGTGAGAGATTTAACAAGTTGCAATGGCGTCCACATAAATTTGGCGTGTTATGGAGAACGAAGAACGCCATAGCGACTAATGATTCATACTTTTTTCAGTGCGGAATAATAGAAATACACAAATCATTCATGACAGAAACTAAAATTCATTTCATTTTTATTCAATCGTCATTTTCCACTTTTTCTGAATGATTCTTTCAATCGAAATGAACGTGAAGAATGCTGTTGTGGATTCATAATAATGCGCAATGCTTCATTTCACAAATGTGTTGTTTACAAATTGGATGCTGTGAACGGTCAATTGAGCACGAACGGAAACTAATTCATCACAAACCTGTTCAACGACACCCATCGTTTAAGAATCACCTTTTGATGTGTCAATCAGATACTGTTATTAAAATTTGAATTGTTGAAAAGCAATAAAATAATTCAAGCGGAATACTTACGGTTTCAGCCATTGGAAGTGGATCGGATAGCGAAAATTTAATTATGACCATAATCAGCATTATATTTGATTCGCGTTCACCTCTGCAAGAAATATTTTGTCATAAAATACTCGCAATAAGTGCAGCAATCAAGTGCAATAAACACTAAATGTGACGTTAATTACATCTTTGTATTTCGTTTGAGCATCCACAAATATGCCGTTGCTACCTCAGTCTAAGTCCATATTTCTAATTCTCAACTCTGATACAATTCGTTTTGATCTCTAGGATGTGTACCCGCAATAAGAAACCTTTAATCTTAAGTCAGTTCAGTTGAAGTTGGTAGCGTAAGTGCACCGCAACTGATTCGAATAGCAAGTGGCCTGAATAAATGAACTTAGCGAAACGAGAGTATGATATCTGGAGGAAGTATGCACCTTGGTTTGTACGGGAATACATTACCATATTTGGTCATACTTACTTTAGACTGGGTCCTCTTTGCGGTTGGCCGGGATATCCACTCAGAACTTGACGTTCTTTGATAGCTCGATGTAGGAAACATGATATTCTTAATGTTAATATGAAAACCGTAGCGGACGGCAACAATGTCACGAAACACAACACCAAACACACATGGTATACAGCCCAGTATGTCTTGTTCTAAAACGTTAAACATATTCATTCAAATGAAAACTCATTTTGTCTGCTGTCCGTTATGCTATGAATTACGAATTATTTCACTACAATGAACCATTAAATCTCAAGATCACCCAAAGTTCTAATTTTAACTTTCGGATGTATCAAACAAATCATAGATTAGCAAATAATAACGCAAACTGAAGTTCACTGAATTCAGCATTCTGTTGTTCACAGTAAATTCTTTGAATGAGTTCACTGAATTTACTGAAGAATGTGATTTGTTTACGGCATTACTTGCTGAAGTAGTAAAATTGTTTACTTCGAATCAACTTTTTTGAAAAAAGTGCGTTTGCTTAAAGGTGAGTAGGTTTGATGGTTTTTGAACGGAAGTATCAGATCACCATTTTCGAAAACATCTTCTTACAGCTATCATTCGTACATTGCAAGTGCATTCCATGACAGCCAACAAAATGTGCTGCCTACGATTCGTTGAAGGCATGATGTTCCACCACAATACGTTTGCCATAGTACAACAATCTTATCCGTTAATTACAACTCAAAAGGCGATCGGTTATAGCGGGATTAGCGTAAGTGAAGCGATGAAAAAACCTCGAGTAATTCTGTGCTTGTCAGCGTCACATAGCAATTTGTCGTAACATTCTGTTTAATAATTGTTAAATCCACATGATCGCTAATGCATTCGGATGTTGTTTTGTATTCGAAGAGACGTGGAATACAGAATATAAATGCTGCTATTAGTATACCAAGTATGACACGTTTCACACGACTGTAATAGGAGATGATGAACGTTGTTTGAGTTATCGATATGCAGTATGATAACATGAAAGGTCAGTGATTTAACTTCGATGATGAAATGAACGCTAAAGTTGTTTGTTTGATTGAAAACTTTCGATCGCTCAGTTTGGCCATTTGTCATTCTAACGAAAGGTGCGATTCATGACGCGTTTGATATATTTAAACGAAACATCGTCCGCCGGTGTACTTATTTGCTACGAAAAATCGTTTTCGCAATTCGCACTGAGAATGGACAATGCAGAGTTAAACTTGTTCACTTAAGCTGAAATCAACTGCATAATCGCATTCAATTGTGCTGAATGATTTTGCAAATTTATCAACAGTGAATTTTTCTGATGTCAAATTGTCGTGACAGCGCAATAAAAACACCTGATACGAAAACAGAAACCTGGCTTTGGCCCGTAGTCTGTATTCGAATGGTTTACGGAGTGCAAAATAACGTTCAACTGTCAGTGCGAATACGATCCATGTTGTTGCAATATAAGATGGTCCAGATAACGCATGCGCGATCAGAATAACATACGAGTAAAATCCTCTTATTTTGGTATCACCGTAGATCAGTGTTGGTACGCAATATATTAGAAAACAGTTGAGAAGAAGTGCGATTTGACAAATTAAAGAGATCAACTGAAAAAAAACTACGTTTGAGAATATTCGAGAATTTATTCAAAGAAAAGTATTGTCATCTTTACAGCAGCACCGCTGTTCAACTGATCAGAGCCTTACGGTCAACTCTACATATGCAGTTGATTTACGTTCACTTCATCCACGTCAAGTGACTGTTTGCACTATTCTATTTCAGTTTCTCATGAGAACATTCGGCACATTTCTGTAATCATTTGTCATGAAATCAAAGAAATTTCCTGTAAAATTTGGCTTGATTCAGTGAAACAGTATTTGTTATTCGAATGTATACTCGCGTTCATCACTGCTGTTATCGTTTCAACTTTACTATCGTAACCGCTCATTAATGTAGGCAAAATATCGTTCGAAGTGAATCAATTGGAACATCGAACACAAAGAACGATTGCAATCCCTTCATTAAAACATTCAAAATGTACCAAATAATAGTGTGCAAGTGAGAATTTGCCACGATTCATTCTGCGAAAAATGAGCATCGAAAATGCATTGAAAAGAACACCGATCAGCACACCGACGAGCGTTGAATAACCATCGAGATAGTAGATAATCACTCGCAGATAACGTTCATGCTCGAGGTGCTCAGCTGACATGGTGACAGTTCTGGGAACGACGTCACTCATATTGCTCGTATTCGACATCGGATATATAATTATTTCATCTTCTGTTGTTGTTGCATTCATTACCATTACTTCTTACTTCTGAACTGCTCTCTTTAATACAATGCGATTCAATATGCATTTAAATTAGCGTAATTAAGCAATCCTTCATAGAGGCAAATCATCGAAATTCTTCGTAATAAACCGTTAAACTCGACGTAGATGATAGATGGATTCTCTTAGAAAAATTCTGGATAACATTAGGTGTGCACAAGTGCAATGGGTAAACAAATATGCAAACGAAACAGGTGAATGAGAAAAAAGCCACGAAAATAATGAAAACCTCCCAAACAGGCATGAACAAAAGGGTTAAGAATGGACGTTCGGTGAAAAAGGCGATAAAAATCGACAAGTAGACAGACGGCATTGTATTATTGAAAATGAGCACCACTCATGATAGCGATGACATTTTGTTGTGTTCAGTGAAGTCGTCATCATCATCTTCGTGAAATGCAAAACGATCATACGAGAAAACATGCAACAAATACCACCAAATAAAACCTGTTCTCAGATGGTGCAGTCTTTTTTTCCATTTAATAAAATCAGCTCCGATGACAATACTATTCTTTCAAATGAACTGACGCGAGCAAACACTATGACGTATTCAAAGCTGATCGTTCGACGACAGTCAATTGATCATATCATCTTCGAATCTGTTCTATTTCCAATTATTCTTAACTGTCTCCTTAACTAATCAATTCATCACGCTAATTTCGCAACTTATGCGATGAGATGATACACGCACACAGAAATTTCATTTGCTGTATCGTTGTCCCGTTCGTGAATAGAGTCAAATAAATTTTATTTTTCGGCACCACAATATAATACAACAATGAATAGAACACAATTGATGATGAAGTTAGTTTCGATTCCTTACAGCCGAGTGCTGAAGGAAATGCACATCCAAATATAGGAAACACCATATTACGGGGAAACAAAAGATTGAGGTGTAAACGATACCATAATTAAATTAGAACATCGAAATGAGGTGTACGAATGCTGAAATCAGGATAAAAAACTGCAAACAACGAAAGAGATAAGTGCGAAACAATTCTGCAAAAATAAAACTGCGACAATTATTTCAAGCTGTGACAAAAAAAGAGACAAAAACTTAAGTTGAACCCAATGAGGGAACGAAACTTATTCACGTGCAATTAGAAGAATATACAAATCAACAGATTATTATTTTCCGCTTAGGTTCAAATTGTACTATTTACACCGATTTCATTCATATTTTGAAATATTCTCATAATATTCGCGTTCATTAGCCACTTTTCGATTCGATACTTTTGCAATTTGTGCTTCGAAACCATTCGAACGATCCACTCCATCCCATCGATAACCAGGTGGGATCGAGAAACGATTCGGTGGCCATCCACCTTTATAGGTTGGATAAACTGAAAACGTTTGAAAATCGCCGCAAGTTTGACACCTGTCATGTGCTTTTGAATCAAATGCGATTTTTCACACGAACAAAAAGAAAACTGCACGAAAAGAAAATGCAAACCTAAACCAGTTTTGATTTCCTTTTTTAATTTCTTCTTTTGTACATACTCCAACATTGGGTCTTCAGCGTGCAATATCTGAAAATATTTGTACATTGAAAACATTCACTGCAGTACCATTAGAAGACTGCAAGTTTTGGGTATTGAAACAATTCGGTTGAACTAAATCATAATATGGAATAAACGACACGATAACGAAATTATCGTAACATTCAATGCGAAAACAATATGAAGAGAACAAATCATTGACCTGTTTCATGTGCACATTCATTGCTTCGTTGTCCGCATGACGTGTGAAACCTTCATCGACGACACGCGCCATTTCTTCAAGCTTTTCAGCACGCTACAAATATATTCACTGAAGTAAGTCTCACGAGTCGAAAGATACATATATTCTTTTTTAAATAAACAAGCAAATATTCCCATCACGGCAAAATCACATTCATATGTTTTTTACACAACAACTAACGTTTCCTACAAACTGACGTATCATTTCGAACCAATATGCTAAACAATCAAAACAAAATCCGTACAACACAACCATCAAAATTAACATATGCTTACATTTTTGATTTGAGCCACACCCTTATTCCACTGCTTATATTTTTGATTGAGTTCCTCCTGCTTTTTAGCTTCCCTCTCCTTCTTTTCCCTATCCTCACGTGTTTCACGTCCTTTACCGGTCATTTTCGAACGACGAACCACTTCAGCATCACGGCCACTTATGTCTTTGTCCAAATTTTCGAACACCTAAACAATATTGAACACAAATAAACGAATTGAAGAACAATGATAAGGATGCAACAGTTCCCGGCCTCTTACTATCGAGTGCAATATCATCGTAAAATTGTTGCAATACAAAAACGAAACCGATAAAGAAAATTTCAACAAAGTCAAACACACACTGAAATTACCTTATTTTCGCGCTCTTTAAGCTGTTTCATTTCATCGCGAAGTGCATCGGCCGTCTGTAGTCCAGCTTTTTTACCATCTAACGTTTTAGTCAATCCATCACGACGCTCGCCTGAATCTGAATCGCCAGCATCTGATCGGTCATGTTTTCGTCGCGAATCCCCACTCGGATCTTGTCTTTGTCTTCTTCGAGGTGATGAATCAGTATCTGAGTCATTGTTTTCAGTCAGCTTTTGACTTCCATTCAATTGCACATCTCGACCTGATCTCGTTTGAGCATCGCCTTCACGATGACGCCTTCGTTGAGGTGATGCATCTGAGTCATCAGAGTCTCGACGATTGCGTCTTGAATCATATGTTCGTTTCAAGACGACCGACCGACCGTCGTTTCGCATATCCCTCGCTGAAAAATGATCACCTGAGTCGAATCTCTGTTTTGATCGCACTCTCGTTGGTGAAATGTCACTACCCGAGTCGTGACGTCTTCTTGATTCTCTTCTCGGTGATTGATCTGCATCCGAATTCCTTGACCTCTTCACTGCTTCAGTGTCATATCTCGAATCACCACGATAGTGCGATCGTCGTCTTGGTGACATCTTACCGTTTAGGCCTCTGGATCTTGGAGGCGATAAATCACCATCGGAATCGACGCCATTTTTGCGAATTCTTCTTGGTGACAGATCACTGTCTGAGTCCATACGTTTCCTCAACGTTCGAGGCGAATGGTCATCAGCTGAATTGGCAAGAGCTCTTCTCACCCTCTTCGGAGAGAAATCATCATCAGAATCATCACGACCCTTTGAGCTTTTTTTCCTTCTGGGCGATAAGTCTTTATTCGAATCCATATGACCGCCACGTCTCTTAACCGGAAGGCCGTCATTAGAATCAACATGAGCTCTCGCTCTCTTCGGTGATAGATCCTCATCCGAACGGACGTTCCTCTTAGGCTTAACTTTGTTCTCATCTACACGTTTCGACCGTCCTTTTTCTGGTGATAAATCATCATCCTGGTGACCGTTACAGCGGCCTGGCGATGGACTGTCATCAGAATCTGCAACAGAAATCAATTCGAGATAAATAATGTTCGAGTGATCTGAAAATGATGAACTGAAATACCGCGAAAACGTATCATTCGGAAAACTAGATAATCCAGAATGGAAACGCATGAATATAATAATAAGAATTAATTCATACGAAATTCTGATGTGTAAAACACTCATGAAAAGTTCAGAGGTTGAAACAAAACACAAACCATGACGGGTTGACTGAGTGTAATATTTCGAAGTGCCTGGCAGTGATGGGACTGTAAAAGCAATACATCGTTACTTTACTCCCCCGACATAATTAATGATCACTGCTTTCAATTTCTTTACACACATCAAAACAACACTCATCAAACATTCAAATTTTGAATCATAGATAAATCAGTTTGGCGACTGTTTTGAATCATTTCCGGTGGCTCATCAAATTGTCATTTTGAACAAAAGATGAAATTCAGTTTCGGAAACTGGTGATTCTGTTACTTATTTCGATAACAAATGCAAGCAAGATTCGACCAACGAGAACAATTTGGTTCGAGAAAAAGAATACCTTCCGAATCATCAATACTTTGAAATGTTCCTTTCTTGAATTTCGGCTTCATTTCAGCTAATTTAGCTTCGACTTCAATTTCGCGCTGAAGTTAACATCATGTATTGATTCAGCATAAAAGGAAACAGTTGCGAATGGAACTTATCACCTCTCATTCCCCTTTTAGCACTAGATTGATGCAAGAAAAACGCTATTAACACAGTAAACTCGATGAGAAATATAACACGCTAAGCAGTTACGAAAATGTCGAAATATTTCTATACTGCTGAACTTGTTACAATCCTCCAAACTATCCAACGTTTCTATGAACAATAAAACATCCATAAATTCACAAATTACTATTGTTGAGAACGTTGGAATTAATACTGAGTTTTTTTCACCAACAAAATTCAGTCTTGAAGCACAAACAGACTTTCCAAACCCACCAAAAATGCAATAGATAGGAAATTTTACCCTCAAATCTTCTCGATCATCTTCATCTGACGGAATATTCGATGATTCGGGTGCAACTGCGATGAACGCATCATCCTCAATAATTTTCATCCTTAAACAAAAGTATTATTACTATTATTAACGCAGAATGGCGGAGAACAGAATAACATCAAACAAACATACCCTCGTGCATTACTGGATTGCTGTTTCTTCTTTTTGCTTTTCTTCTTTGTCTTATCTGCATCAGAAGAGAGATATTTTTTGAGATACTCCTCACGAGCTGATTTAGCATCAGGACCAACTGTAGCCATTGAAAAAGCGTTGAACCGTTAAATTCCCCTCTAAGAAAAACTTATACATGCGATAAACTGGATGTGAGCAATCAGTCTGTTTGATTGATATGTTGGTCGACAATCGACTGTTTCTTTAACTCAGTCAGATAAGTACCCAACCACTATGAATTTCAACACATACCTCAGTTATTGGGAAAATTACCTATACATATCAGCATATCATATCTCGAAAATATTCAAGATTATAATCCATCCAAAATTCATCTATTAAAACACTTTTTATTACATATGTTATTGGAACACTTTATTTTTTACTGAATTTCAGAAGTGTTTACAACTACCATAATCAACCGTATACGTATTCAATAAGAGGTAAAAATGACCAGTTCTTGCTGACAACAGAAACATGAATACTATTAGTTGTGAAAAACGTGGTTTATTTGGCCATAAATTAAAGTATGATATTGATAACAAGGTCAATAAATTATAACAGTATCACGAAAGCAATGAATAGAACACCAGAAAACACTATTATTCATAACAACACCTTTTACGAAAATGGACAAAGAAGCAAGTGAGAAACAATTCCCATGATGAGGCACAAGATAAGAAGATCTTAACAATCTTGTTTTCTATGTGATATAACATGGAAGGATTCTTTATGAACGTATTTATTCAACCGAGGAAATTAGCAACAACAAGATGAAGTATAACGTGTGCAAAAACGAAATCGGCAAATGCTCTTTCCGGACTGATGTGTGGAAACACTGGTTTGTTTTCAGGATTAACCTGAATGCGTAGTGATGCTGAAATATTCGACAAATGTCAGTTGTGACTTTACAGTTGAGCTAGGCGAAAAATATGCAGTGTTTAAAAAATGAACGACTCTGCTACGATCTATGTCAACTGCTGAGAATGTCGCAAAATTGAATCTCAGCATTCACCAATAGGAGATTCCTCAGAAGTGATGAAATGCACTGTACAATAAAGTGCTTGAATTCGGGTGGTAGAAGCGAAAAATATAAAACCAAA